GCTATATTCTGTAGGTCTTTGAAGTGTTTGAAGATCTCCTATCTAAACTATATATAGCTCTGTTTTTGAAAACATACCTAGTATGACTATAAGTTTGACTGTTATAGATGACTATTAACCTGTATTTCTTTATTATCCTAAATAGCTTTTAAGAACTAAAACTTTACATTACATTTTTAAATGGGTTGCACAGGTATAATACCTTAAACAAGAATAGAAACATATATACAGTACAACAAAAATAACCTTAAATTTGTATTAATATACAAAATTCCATACCAATGTAAAATACTTCAGACTAGTAGTTGTTCAAAAGTAGACTCAACAATCCACCCTTTTATCCCATCATTTCTATACTATATCCCCTCTCTTCCCTTTAGAAAGAGATCATTGAATCTAATCTCCTTTGTTTAGCTTTCACCCTGACCATGACATGAACAATTTTTTTCACCCCTCCCACCATGAACAATTTTTAACCAACCTCCCTAAATGATGACATACATCCATAACCCACTGACCAAAAACCACCCACCCCACCTCTCAGGAATGTGGGTGTCAGTTTTCTAGACTGCTTCTTGTTGTCTGGGAACAATAGCATCTTTGGGGGACCCTAAGAAAACTGAGATAATGGTCAAGTCCTGGGAAAACTAGCCATAACATTTGTACAGTCTCTATGCAATGGGAAAGTACAAGGCTTATCTGTAGTCCTGGCTAGAATTGTCTGTGAGTCTGGACCATCTCAGCTAGCAGCCTTGAAGCTGTTCTGGATGTAACAGGCGCACTCTGAGAGGCTGGATCTCCTGGGATACCTGTTTTCATTGATGTCTGGTCCTCTTGCTCTGTCTTGTAGTTTTTCTAGGTTTATTTCTTTTGTCTGTAGCTAAGATCATCAGGAGGTCTCCCCCATTCAAATTTGATCTCGATTAACTTTGAGGGAATCCATAGCTTTTCATTTCCTGTGGAAACAAAAGCACAAATTCTCCCCCAATGCAACACATTGTCCAACTTCCATTTTGAAGCCAAGACATCCCTAAAGTATCTAGGCTGGTTTAATTCAGCAGTCCCTTCCTCAATTCAGCGTATCTCAGCAGCTGTCATTCTCTGTTCATTAGCATTCAAAAAATTCAAAGTCAACAAAGCACCATACAGGATTCAGATGTCCTGTGTATTTCCCATGTTTATATATTTTTCAAATGTTATTTTTCTCTCTCTTTAAAGGCTTTATTTTATTATTTATAAATTTTTTCTATGACTGTCTATACACATTTTCTTTTATTTCTTTAGTATCTAAGCACATTTTAAAATATACTCTATCTGTTCAGAGGTTTTCTTTGACTGGATTGCTTTACTAAGTGTCTGCAGCCATGCACTGGCAGTGTTCCTTAAGCTGCTAAGTAGTGGTGGCTAGGTCCTCCTCTGCTAGCACATGGCCTGGTGTCTGCCTCGCCCCCTTTGGGTTGGTGAGAATGGAGCCTTATGCCTGCAGATCCTGCTTGGAGCTGGTCTATAGACCCTAGCTCCAGTAAGCGCTTCTACCTAGTCTTTCACAACCAAGTAGTGTGCTGCCTGCTGCTCATAAACCCCATTTAAGTGCTCCATAGCAGAGCCTCTTAAAAGAGCTGTGTCTCTGTACACTGAGGATACCCAAGAGACTGCTTTTTCAGAACCTGTGTGGAAATATGTGGCCCCACATTGGATGCCTTTTTTTTTTTTTTTTTTTTTTTTTTGTCTTTTGGACAGGGTTTCTCTGTGTAGCTTTGGAGACTTTCCTGGAACTCACTCTGTAGCCCAGGCTGGCCTCAAACTCACAGAGATCCACCTGGCTCTGCCTCTCGAGTTCTGAGATTAAAGGCATGCGCCACCACTGCCCAGCTTGGATGCCATTTGTAACGAGTCTTTGTACCACCAGCTCCCAAATAACAACATGGAGACTTCTTATACATTATGAAAGTTTGGCCTTAGCTAAGGCTTGTTTCTTTTTTCTTTTAAATTTTTTATTCATTTTACATACCAACCACAGATCCCCTTTCCATCTCTCCTCCCACTCCCTCCCCCTCCCACCCCACTCCCCATCCACTTCTCCAAAAGGGTTAGGCCTCCCATGGGGAATCAACAAAGCCTGGTACATTCAGTTGAGGCAGGACCAATCCCCTCCCCCCTGCATCAAGGCTGAGGGACCAAGCTACAAACTGTCTCCCACCTGAAGAGGGCCTAGTTTGGTCCCATTCAGGCTCTACAGCTCTTGGTCTACAGTTTGTGAGTCCCCATGAGCTTGGTTCAGTTGTCTCTGTAGATTTCCCCATCATGATCTTGACCCCCTTGCTCATATCCCTATTCCCTCTCTTCAACTGGACTCCCAGAGCTTGACCTGGTTCTTGGCTGTGGATCTCTGCATCTGCTTTCATCGGTTACTGGATGAAGGTTCTATGATGATAGTTAGGGTATTCACCAATCTCATTACAGGAGGAAGGTCAGTTCAGGCACCCTCTCCACTATTGCTAGTGGTCTTAAATGTAGTCATCCTTGTGAGTTCCTGGGAATTTCCCTACCACCAGGTTTCTCCCTAAACCCATAATGGCTCCCTCTATCAAGATATCTCTTTCGTTGCTCTCCCACTCCACTTAGGCTTGTTTCTAACTAGCTCTTATAACTTAAATTAACCCATTTCAATTTATCTATGTGCTGTTACATGGCTCTTGGGTTTTACCTCTCCTCCTACATGCCTTGCTTCCTCTGTGTCCAGCTAGTGACTCCTCCTTTCTTCTTCCCCCAGACCTCCCTGTCTCCAGAAGTCCCGCCGAGCTTCTTCCTGCCTAGCTATTGGTCATCCAGCTCTTTATTAAACCAATCACAGTGACACATCTCCACACAGTGTAAAGGAATGTTTGGCAACAGGATAAGAGAGGAACAGAGGGTGAAGACAACACTAACAGTCATTATAGATGTGTATGAAATTGTGGAATAAAGATTGAAAAAGAGGAAACATTTTTTTGTACGTAAGTCAGTAGTTCTCAAATGTTAGGTGGGATTGATACAGGTCACATGAAAATAAAGGAAAACAACAGGCAGCTCCGGAAGTGGAGAACAGTGAAGTACACTCATGTGGAGACCGTGTGCACATGTGGTGCAGGGGGCTTGGGGATTTTATAGGGCGGAAGGGGGTTTGGGGGATGGAAGATTCCACCTGTGGGTCAGTTCCCCTGCAGTCTCAAAATGGTAGATCCCAGTGGGTTTGGTATGTGAATAGTCTCATTAGAAGCTCCTGCAGATCTTACCAATCAAGTCAATTTTCCTGTCTGGAGTTTCTCTGTCCAGTGTAAGTGTTGCAGCTCTGAGGGGAAAGGCTTCCCCGGCAGAAGTCTCGTAGCACCGAGGGGAAAGGCATCCTGGCAGTCAGAAGCCAAGGAATACTGCAAAGTCACACTGCACAACAAACCTCACACAAGAGATTTATTGGGAAAGACACGTGGCTGCCTCTGCTCCGTGAGAGGCATCAGAAAATTGAGCTTACGTAGGGTTTCTTGGGAGTGGAGTTTTCCAGGGTGGGGATTGGTGAGATTTCAAGTCCTGAGCTTGGGGAGAGCCCAGGGATTGGTGGGTTTTTGAATTCTGGGATTGGTGGGTTTTCAAAACCTGGAAGTGAGCTCGGGCTTTTTACCTTACGCCCAGTCCAGTAGCTCCAGCATACCATCACTAAGTAGTTTTTGTTGTGTTTTTCACAAAGGATTTCACTGTGTAATTCTGCCTTAGTCTCTTGAATCCTGAAATTATAGATGTATATCCACATTAATTTCTTGAATATGATGGTTTCGTGGTTATTGGAGCATGCCTTTGTTCTGAAGAGAAAAACACTGAAATATTGACGTGAAATCTTATAGTATCTAAAATTTCTTTTAAATGGCTTAACCAAAATGAAATGGTTTGGGCCAACAAGGTGGCCATCAGTGGGTAAAGGAACCTGCTGCTAAGTCTGATGACATGAGTTCAAGCTCCAGGATTCACATGTTAGAAGGACAGAACCACGTTATCCTCTGACCTCTACACACAAACCTTGGCATGCACATGCCTAGATTCACATATACGCACAAGCAAAATAAAATAAATAAAGTAAAATAATTAGAAAAATGAACTTTATAAATATTAATCTACCTAGAGAATATATGAACATACATATCATATTTTATATATCTGTATGTATATGTAGGAGCACACACACATGCACATATATATATATATATATAATATTAATAATGGGAGAGCATAAGCAAAGGATACATGGTGTTCATAATATTATTTTCAACCTTTCTGTAGATTTGAAATTTTTTCCCAAAAAAGCAGAGGGAAGAAAGTGAAAGGGCGTGAGAACAAAGTGCGTGGCCAATGGTAAGTGACCAATTAAAGGGTGGATCTTAGATGAGTATAAGGGACTTTTGCTTACTTAGCACAGCATCCCTAGTGCTTGTGACAGTGCTAATCGATAAAGTAAATGTCTAAAACAACAAATCATTGGGCCAGTGGATGGCTCTGTTGGTAAAGGAGCTTGTCACCAAACATGGACATGAGTACAATACCAGATCCCACAGGTAAAAGGAGAGAACAGGACCCCCACCACTTGTTCTCTGATCTGTCTACACACACACACACACACACACACACACACACACACACACACAGAGAGAGAGAGAGAGAGAGAGAGAGAGAGAGAGAAAATAATTTTAAAACCTCAAATTTTTGAGTACATTAGAAACAAAATATGAAAATAGTGTCCAAAATGACATCACAAGATGACACATGATTACATGGACACTTCTTACTATGGCCTGAATATAATAATGTGATTTTCTTTGATTATGTCTTCCCCATGAGTAAAAAAATGATTTAAAAAAAATGCCCTAGAAAAATCCCTATGCCTAATTGAGATGATCTTGGTAGTTAATTCTAGGAATAACAGCATCATATGTGGTTACAATACTGGGATTACTGCAAAAAATTAGTCAAGCTGAGAGTTTCCGTGTTGTTACTTTATTTTTTCAGTGTTGGCAAAAATCAACATCAACAGGCCCCTTGGCAGAAGGATGCTGCTCCCTCTGGTGGTGAGAAGCAGCTGGTCTCCGTGAGAGAGGCCACCAGGAAAGAGATGAGGTGTACTCAGTGGTCACACAGATTTTTGGAAACCTTTCTCTTTTTAATTCCTAGTTATGGAGTCCTTAAGGACCAAATTTCAGGTGAAGTCTTTAAAAAAGTTTATCTTTATTATTTCTTAAATGTATTTGTGTCTTCAGGGGTTATGCTCCCGTGAGTGCAGATGCCTGTGGAGTCCAGAAGAGGGCATCAAGTCCCTGGAATGAGCCTCCCAGGGTAGGTGCTCCGAAGGGAACTCAGATCCTCTGCAAGAAGAGTAAATGCTTTTAATAGCCAAACCGTCCTTCTCCTGCCCCATTTGTTCAGTTTTTTTATGTGTGTTTTTTGTGTTGTGCAAACTGTGCTGAGATTGTTCATTGGTTCTGTGTGTGGGAATCTTCAGTTTCCTATACATGGGATGATGTCATCAGGAAATAGAGATGATTTTACTTCTTTCCAACTTGACTGCTTTTTCCACTCCCTTGACTAATGGCTCTGGCTATGTCTTCTAGAATTCCACTCACTAGAATGCTATTCACATAATGCTAAGGGAGTATTACTGAGTCAAAAGAAGTTCACTTTTGTTTTTGTTTTGTTTTTTGTTTTGTTGTTGTTGCTTCGAAACAGGGTTTCTCTGTGTAGTTTTGGTGCCTGTCCTGGATCTCGCTCTGTAGGCCAGGCTGGTGTCGAACTCACAGAGATCTGCCTGGCTCTGCCTCCCAAGTGCTGGGATTAAAGGCGTGCACCACCACTGCCTGGCCAAGAAGACTACTTTTAACTCATTTCACATCGATAAAAAATTGTTTTCTGGAAAGGTCCAGCAGACCTTCTCACCATCAGCATTCACTCTGAGGAAAACTGAGGAGACTTATGGTGTTCTTCCTACATTTATTTGCCATCTTTTTTCCTATGAATTGCCTATTCCTGCTCATCTATTACTTTAAAAACCATGTATTTATTTACTCCGTGTGTGTGTGCATACATGTGTGCACATGCATAGGCAAAGATGTCATGGCGCTTGTGTGCAGGTCAGAGGTTAACTTTCGGGAATGGGTTCTCTGCTTCCACCATTTGGGTTCTGGGGATTGAACTCGGGTCTTCAGAGTTGGCAGCAAGTGTCTTTGCCCCCAGGTCATCTCAACAGCTGCCCCTAACCTTTCTTTCTACTGTGCTGTTTGGCTTATTGTGATTTTTGTAGGAGTAGTTTTATCTGTTCAGTGATCTATTGATCATATAATCAGTTTTTAACACCGACTGTTCCAGGCACGGTTCTGGGTACTGGAGATGGGCGTGGCAAAGTACTAAACAGATCACATATACCTCCAACTGGAGAGGTGCACAGAGTCATGAATTGTAGTCATGAGGAGAAAGCAGGCAGTGAGAGCGGAAGAGACAGCGCTTTATACCTGTGCTCAGAAGGAAGGCATGAGCAAGCTCAGGCATGCCTAGCAGCTCAGGCAGCTGCCTGGGGTGGAGAACTTGAGGCCAACAGGACAGCAGGGTCTTCACAAGTTCTAAGTTAACTCTTTCCCAGAACTCCATGTGCCTTCTGTGGTTGTTCACAGCGTCTTGTATAGGAGGTTATCCTGATGCTGAGATCTTCTGGTCCCGGTTCTGGATTTTATACTTAAGACTTTTCTTCCCCTAAATCATAAGAGGATTATCTTACATTTGTTGCTACCATTTTACACTTTTAATTTTTTTGTTTGTTTCGTTTTTTTGAGACAGGGTTTCTCCTCTGTGTAGCCCTGGCTGTCCTGGAACTTGCTCTGTAGACCAGGTTGGCCTCGAACTCACAGAAATCTACCTGCCTCTGACTCTCGAGTGCTGGGATTAAAGGTGTGTGTCACCACCGACAGCCTGCCATAGATGAGCTTTAAGGCCACAACTGAGTGATATCTTGGGTACTCAAAGGTGACCTTATGCTTTCTTCCAGACAGGTAAGACTGCCAGAGAAGTAAGGTGTTGTGGTGTTATCTGTTATTAGTCATCCAAACGTTTTGTCCATTTTATTTTAAAATTATGTGGTGATATTGTGTCCCCCAATATATTGTATGTGAGGACCAGGAACTAGAGCCTTTTTAATCTTTCAGGCTTTTGAGTAGCAGTTCAGCTGAGATCCATTTGGGTGAGGACTCAAAAGCTTCCAGTCTGAGGAAGCAAGATCAGCTGAGGAATTGGCGAGGTGAGGTTAGCTGTGGCTTGTTCTGTTTCTCTGATCTTCCAGTGTTCATCCCAATAACTGGCTCTGGGTTTGTTTTAATTAATAAGACCTTAGAAGATTCCTGCTACCAAATTATATTTATTTAATTAACTAGTTTGTGTGCATGTGTGTATATGAGTATGCACATATACCATGATATGCTTTTAACTTTTAACAGCTTTGTGGAGGTATAATTTACATTTCAAAACCTACCCATTTGGAATACAATCCAGAGATTTGTGTGTGTGTGTGTGAATGTATACTGTCCCTACAACCCAGTTTTAGAAACACACTTTGATTTTGTTATGTTTAGCTTTGATGTTTCTAAGATGAATTTGAGATTTTAGTGTCAAGTTACAGACCTATTTTTTTTTTCTCCATTGGCTTGAAGAAAATTTCCTTCACCACAGGATAGACTTCCTATTTCTGGTTTTTCTTCAGCAATCACAAACACACAGGGTTTTATTTGGCTCATACAGATTTCAAGATGGGACAATTTCACTGAAAAATGCTTTTATTTTATTTTAATAAAGTTTTTCTTTTAAAAATTATCTCTTTTACTTTTTTGAGATTATTATATAATCACATCACGTTTCTTCCCTTTCCTCCCTCCAAACCCTCACATATACCCCTCTTTGCTCTCTTTCAATATAGATTTTTCTTAAATTTAAAAATTACATTTAATGTGTATGTGTGTGTGTGTGTGTGAGAGAGAGAGAGAGAGAGAGAGAGAGAGAGAGAGAGAGAGAGAGAGAGAGAGAGCGTGAGAGCGCATTTTGGAGGAGTCATTTCTCTTCTTCCATCAATACGGGTTCTGGGAACCCAACTTAGATGCTTAGTCTTGACAGCTAGTGCCTCTACCCACCGACTCATCTCTCGAGCCCTATTTTATTTGTTTTAAACCAGACAATCTAGCAGTGATCTGCTGGAGGTGAGTGGACACCACACCTTCTAAGTGGGCATGAAGATGGTACCCACAGTCCAGTTTGTCCTGGCAGTGCCCATAAATGTCTGTGTTCCAGTGTAATTATTTATTACATCATTTCACATTTTAAGGGATTTTGGTTTGAGCAACAAGTTATAGCCACCTTAGTGACAAGCAGCTGAAAAGAGACATTCAGCTCTCCTTATTTGTGTTACAAGATCGCCTCCTAGGAGTGAAAATGGGGAAAGAGTCGCCACCGCCCTGCTGCAGAGGTTTGTCGGGAGTTTGCGATTTCAGAAGAGAGAGAACACAGCAGGGCCGGGAAGTCCTCACAGTGCTCTATTTGACAGAGGATAAAACTTACTAACCCGCACTCCTTGCATTATTTCATTGAACTTCACCACAACCTAGCTAGTTACATTTATTTGTGTGTGGATTTGCTGTGGTCCTGTAATCCGAATCCCCTCACAGGGTCGTCCACTGTTCTGCTCATCACCTCACCTTCCACCTCCTCTACCTGTTCAGTGTGACGAGTACAGCTGGCTCCCTTAGAAATTATTTATTGACATCCGTAAAATTATTAATCCCAACACAATTTTATAATTCATGAAATATTTTCCAACAGTTTCTTCGAATAAGCAATAGCTCATTGAAGGACCTTTATGTATCATTTACACGAAATATATTTGTTAATTATAATACAAATATTAGTTGACTGATCCGACTCCCAGGGACTACATATTGAATGGACTAACTGAGGCGCATGGGCAGAACACAGTGACTTGGCTGAAGTCAGTCGTAGAAAGAAGGGGGCAGCAATCAGAGTCAAGTGTTAATTCTGGCCTAGGGCCTTTCACTGGCCACTCGGCTGCATCATTTCTAAACAGACAAGAAATTTGAGAGCATGCGCACGCAGCGACTGGTCGTTACCTCAAAGAAATGCTGGAGGTGGGATGTGGGAAAACAGGTGGTCCAGGAAACACAGCATCGCTGTCATCTGCCCGGCCTCCGGAGAAAGACTACACTTCCCATAAGGCCGCGGGGCGCGCACTGCCCCTGCCACGCGGCCTGCACCTCCGCGTCAGTCCACTGGGGGCGATGTGGAGAATCCTCCGCCGCCCCGTAGAAATCTACGCGGCTCCGGGGCCGCTTGCTTCCTGTTTGTCGGACGAGGAGACATGGCGGCAGCGCCGGCAGCGGCTGGAGCTGGGGCCAGCCGGGGGAGACAGTCGGCAGCTACGGCGACGGCGTGGGGCGGCTGGGGAGGCCGGCCGCGGCCCGGTAACATCCTGCTGCAGCTGCGGCAGGGCCAGCTCACCGGTCGGGGCCTGGTCCGGGCGGTGCAGGTACGAGGCCGGCCCGGAGGGGCGGGGCGGGGCGGGCCAGGCTGGAGCTGGCCAGCGGCCGGGAAAGAGGCCTTTCGAGGCCGCTGCGGGACCGGCCAGATCCCCCTTGGCTGGCCGCGGGGCTGTCCCGTGTGCCTCCCGGACGCTGTCAGCCGCGGTGGGACGATGGGCAGCGGCCGCCTGGGAGGCCTGCAGGTCTGGGCCGAGTAGGGTCGGGCTGCCTGGGGTATTGATGGCGCGTATGAGCCCTGGGCCGAGTTTCTAGATCCTCATTTCCCTGCGCCACGTCTGCATGTCTGGGGGACCTTGGCGAGTTGGCTTCATCTTTTACTGGCCTCGCGTTTGCCCCTTGTGAGCAAGACGGGGTGTTCCTCACTGCAGCCCCCCCCCCCCCCTAAACGGTTCGCAAGCCTATCATAAATGTCATCTTTTCAAAGAGGCCTTAACGTTCCTCCTCCTCTCCTAAAGTAGGCCCCCATTGTTATTCTGTCAAATCCCCCAGTTCGTTTTCGGTTGCGTTATTTTCTTAGCCTGTAATTGCATATTTCTTTGTTGTCTGCCCTTTTCACGCCTGTCTCCCACATTAGGCTGAGCTCCAAACGAGTGCAGAGACTGTTTTGCTAGTGTAGGGCGACGTGCTTTGGAGGAAGAACTTTAGTCAAGCCCAAGTTCAAAGCCCTACTCTCTTTCTTGCTTGGGCAAGTTACCTTTCAGTGACTTAGTTTCCTCATTTAAGTCACATTTTAAGGATATTGTTAAATTCAAAGGAGATAGTCGTGTGACGTGTTAGTGCATTTCAGGTGCATATAAGGGCTGGAGGGTTATCAGTTAATGTTATATTTAATGCCTAGCTTATTACACTGATTGGTGTCCAATACATTGTGTGTGTGTGTGTGTGTGTGTGTGTGTGTGTGTGTGTATGCATGCATGCTTGTGGGTTAATGTAGGGCACTACCTTAGAATAAAGCAGGATGGATGACTCGTCTCATATTTTCCTCATTCTCCTAGGTGATTCCAGAACTTAATTTGAGAATATTAGCATAGCCGGGCCCACACCTTCAATCCCAGCACTTGGGGGGAAGAGGCAGGCTGATCTCTGGGAGTTCCAGGGCAGCCTGGTCTACAAAGCAGATTCCAGCACAGCCAAGGCTGTTACACAGAGAAACCCTGTTTTGAAAAACAAGATGAGAGAGAGAGACAGAGAGAGAGACAGAGAGAGAGACAGAGAGAGAGACAGAGAGAAAGAGAAAGAAACACAGGAACACATTAGCTTAATTTAAAGATAGCTTTTGCATATGGTTTTGGGGAATACAAAGAAACCAGTAAGTGTTGAATTGGAGAGGGATGGGAATTAGGTGCATGGATGAGGGAATGGGTGTGAGATTTTTCTCAGTGTACCATTACGTATTTAAAGTTAATTTTGAGCCATTTGAATATTACCTAAAGGACTAAAAAGGTGAAGGTGAGATGGTCTGTATTTGCAGAGGGTTGCAGATGAAGGAGCACTTTTGGGTAGCCATATTTTCCTACAGAAACTGTAGATGAGCATCTTTTCTTCATTGCATTTTTCTGCATCTGCCTTAAGAAGATCTGAGAAATACTTGCTCTGTCCATTAAGCAAGGATATGTGACTGAGCTGAGTATGTAGGGCAGGCAGAAAGGGGACCAACCTTTAATGTTTACATATATTGGAACAATCAGTGTGCAAGGTGTTCATGTTTTTATTTTGAATGTGAGTTTACTTTTGAGACAGGCTATCACTACATAGATATGACTGGCCTAGATCTTACTATATAGACTAGATGGGCCTTGCACTTGAGGCAATCCTCCTGCCTCTGCATTCTTAGTGCTGGGATTACAGGTGTGTTCCACCACACCCAGCAATTTTCAATATTTTGAGCCATGTGTTGAACTCATTTCTTTTTCTTTTTTCTTTTTATTATTATTATTATTATTATTATTATTTGGTTTTTTGAGACAGGGTTTCTCTGTGTAGCTTTGTGCCTTTCTTGGAACTCACCCTGTAGCCCAGGCTGGCCTCGAACTCATAGAGATCTGCCTGCCTCTGCCTCCTGAGTGCTGGGATTAAAGGCATGCTCCACCACTGCCTGGCTTGAACTCATTTCTAAACACAAATGAGGAAATGGAAGTTCAGAAAGGTTAGGCAGTGTGATTCTAAACACCTGTGTTTAGATAATCTGTGTTCTAAAGAGAATGAGCCATAGAAATTCTTTAAAATGCTGAATGAGGCAATTTAGGAAAATAATTTGTTTTAAATGCTGAAATGCTAGGTAGGAATGCTAGAAAACTATGTTAGAAGGCTACTGGATTATTCTTGGAGCCTGATTTGGCTGGTCATTGTGGTCTCCACTATTACTCTGTTGCTGCCCAAAGTTTGTTTCGATCACATTACTTTCTTAACCTGTAATTGCATATTTCTTTGATAGTTTTATACAGGTGTGGGAGCTATTTCAGAGGTTGACTTAGGAATTCCTGTCTCCCAAATAGCAGTGATAATGAAGTGGAGACCTTTACATTTCATGGTTTCCTTTCTTAGTAGAGTTCTTCAGTTTGTTCCCTTGCTATGCTCTCCCTATCCCCTCTCCTGCTATGCAGAATAAATTATCTTCTCACCCATATTTCCTTAGCACAGCACACATATTGGTTACGGCATATGGCACAGTAGGAAAGTACCAGGTTTTTAAAGAACTTTTTTTGAGGGGGGTGGTGGGATGAGGAAGAAAACAGATTCATTAAGTATACTGCAGGGGCCACAGGCTGGACAGTAACATGAGCATCACCTGCCTAAAAATACCCTTTTAAATGAAAAAAGCACAACAGCTCATCATCACACCTGTTTGAAGCTATACAATTCAGTAGTGTTCACTAGTCTCACACTGATGCACACCCAATCTCTAGAATTTTTCAGCTTGCAAACCTGAAACTGTATCCACTGAGCAACTCCTTGTGCCCCTCCCCAGCCTCCATAACCACCTTCTACTTTCTCTTGCTGGGAGTTTGACAGGTGCCCTGAAGGTTCATTTGAGTAGAATTTCCATATGGTAGAATTTCCCTGGAAAAGACTGAATTTGGAGTAAGATGGGTCTTTTTTTTTTTTTTTTTTTTTTAATTCGGAGCTGAGGACCGAACCCAGGGCCTTGCGCTTGCTAGGCAAGCACTCTACTACTGAGCTAAATCCCCAACCCCTAAAATGGGTCTTAATTGAATCCTAGTTCCGACCTTTTTTAGCCAGTGCCCTTAGCCTAAGTTAATCTCTTCAAATCTGTTTCATTATTTCTAAAATGGTAGTAATGACATCTGTCCCATAAGGTTGTTAGGAGAATCAGGTGAAACAATAGGTCAGAAAGTTTAGCCAGGTTGCCACATACACATATTTATTTGATAAATAGTTGCTCTTACCTAGCAGTAATTAGACTGGACTTTTTGAGAGTGTCTTATTTTCTTTGTATCCGCAGAGCCTGAAACCATGCCAAACACTTGATAGGAAGGACTCAGGAAACTCAGAATTGAAATAGTGTATCCCCAGTCTGTATCTGTCTACAGTAACTCTGCAGTAACCCCATAGCTTTAAAGAGTTCCAGAGTCAGGTCACTTGTGATTTGAAACCTGGCATGGGTACATACTTGCTTTATGTCTTTGGGAAAGTTACTTAAGATCTGTTTCTTTTTTCTTTGTTTGTTTTGTCGAGACAGGATCTCAATAAGTAGCCTTGGCTGTCCTGCAACTCACTCTGTAGACCAGGCTGGCCTTGAACTCAGAGAGGTCTACCTACCTTTGCCTCCAGAGTACATGCGCCGACACCACTGCCCAGGACCTAACCTCTTAAGATTATAGTGAGGAAAATGAGTTTTTACATAGAAAACATTGAAAAAAGTAACTGAAGTATAATGAGTGTGCAGATACATTAGGTTTAATTATTATTATTATTTTAACAAATACTCTATATTCTGATGGCTCATAAGTCTGCATTTCCATTCCTGACCTTTTTTTTTTTTTTTTAAGTTCCACATGGGTAGGTATTTCCAACCACCTGCCCTGAATCTCCGTGTAGATAACTAATGGGCAACTCAAATTTAATATGTAGGAAATCAAAATCTTGGTTTCTCTTCCATCAAACCCAATCCTCCCTCAGTTTCCCCTCTCGCTAAGTGAGACACAAGAGCAGCCTGGGAGAGGACGTAGGTCACAGGACTTGAGTGGGCTGGTTCCATTCGAGTTCTCATTTGCCTCATTTTCTTCCCGACCTTTTGTCTGTCCTCTGTCAAGGTAATGCCTATGCCAAGGTGCTTTGCAGTTTATTCACGCCGTCATACTCAGCTGCACATTTGATCTTCAAAGAAAACTGGGTCTTAAAATCCTCTGCCTGCAGCTCCCCAGCTGCTTCTCATTGCAGTTGGAGTAAATCTGCTCCCTGTATGACAAGGGGACAGGATCCTGCAGGGCCGATAGAGTTGAGGGGAAAGAGACTGGATAAACTGGGCACTAGAACAATGAATCTGTTCTGCAGATATTCTGCAGCCTGGCAGTTGGAGAGTCTGGGTTATGGGGCCCCTTCTGTTTCCCAAGTGCTGTTACTTTGTGACCACTCTAGATTTCACCGTCTTTACTTTCACCTTTCTTAGACTCTCCTCCCTTCTACCCTCTCTCCATTTCTATGTGCTACTAAGACTCAAACTCAAACACTCTTCCACACTGCTCTCCTCTTAGTTGTTTTCTCTCCTGTCGGTCCTGTTGGTTTTAGTCTT